CTCCCCGTTCCCCACCCCCCCCCCCCCCCCGCTCCTGCCCTACACCCAAAAGGGGGGCCCCTCCCCTATTTTGGGAACCACTGCCTTTGAACTTGATTGTAGCAGGTACGTTTCCTGCTCGGACACTAGTACAAGACACCAGGAAATTTGAGGGCGGAGCTTGAGGTGCACATCCTGTCTAATTGGTCGGAGAATTCATCCCATTTAAAAAAAAAAAAAAAAAAAAAAAAACAACGTAAACTTTTTAACTTCCAGTGACAACAAACGCGGCTCGACTCTGACGGAAACAGAGACATTTGTTCAAAGCAGGAAATAAACTTTAGAAACTGGAGACTGACTGAACAACGTGTGTGTGTGTGTGTGTGTGTGTTACCTGTCACATCGTGGTCCTGTATATTCCGGCTGACACTGGTCACACTGCAGCTCTCCGTCCACACTCAGGTGACAGGTGGGACTGAAGCTGTCGTCATCAGAGGTTGTTGTTGTTGTTGATGATGAGTTGGGTAGCGTTGTTGTTCCAGTGTGGAGCACGGCAGGAGGACGAGGAGGAAGAGGAGAGGACAGAGGCGAGTTAAGGCCATTGTGTCTCAGCCTCCACACAAAGACAAACACACACACACACTCTCTCTCTCTTTGACCCTTTACTTTCAAACCCTTACATTCACCCCAAACGACAGCGTCTCTCACTGAACGACAGTGTCTCTCACTCTTCCTCTCTACAAACAGTTTCCTAAATAAAGTGAAGGAGAGGAAACGTGAACATGAGAGAGAGGGAGAGAGACACTGAGACTGAAGCTCCCCTCTCTCCTCACCCTCCCACTTCCATAAACTATAGATAGTTCTCCAGGATCAGGTTCCAGGTCCCAAACTGGTTCAGTGGCACCGAGGCCGTGGGTTTACGCCACGGTCTGTCTGACTGGACTCAGAATCTCACAGGTCACTGAATTTGTACTGAATATGAAACACAGACTGGAGACAATTTTACCTACGACCTAATCGTACGACCCTGGGTCAAATTCCAGAACTCAAATATACATCCTTATAAATTAACCCTGTGTTAGAAGAAGTCAAAATAGAGGGCGGGGTCTTTTCTTCTTATTTAGAAACAAGAACAGGAAAAAAAACTACATACTCTACCTTTACAATAAAATAAAAATGTACTGTGGGCAGCAGGTGTGTTTAAACCAGCACGTGTTCTTTCTTTAGTTTTACTCTAAGTCAAACAGTTTGATTCTCAGTGAGTGGCTGTAACTCAGCACCAGCATCATCACTGAAGCTCACAGCAACATCACACTGTATCAGGTTTGATATCACAGCCCACAGCTGCCTGAAGGACCGAACGTCTGACCCACCGCTGACCCACCGGACGCCTGGCTGTTTGAGTGCTGAACATAAGGGACTCGGTGGCTATTTTGAGGCTCTGAAAGGCACAGCAGCTCCAAGCTATTATTACTGCGGGGGGTTAGAGGTAGAGAGACACAGACAGAGAGTCGTGTCTTTCCTTAGCTCGGAGCTTCTGGACGTGACGCGTCCTGACGACGTGGAGATTCTCAGCTGCTGCTGCCCGTGTCCACGCGGCCCTGCTGCGGACATCTGTTTACCTAACAGACAGCATCTGACTCCCTGGTTATTTGAAGAAAATGTTCAAGGCAGAAAATAACTCAGACCTCACGTCTGATTAAATTAGCATTTAGCCATTGTTGTTTCCATTAGCATAGTGTGTTTTGTAGAGCTAGTTATGTGAGTCAGGCAGAGTCCACATATGTAAAGACGACCGCTGAGGTCTACACTACTGAAGATTCACTCTGACACCGACGGGCCTTGACCTGGGGTCAGCGTTGACACAACTGCGTCTTCAATCATTTTCATTTTGTTTTTGTTATAAACTAAAGTACAGTCTCAGTATCACAGGTTTTTACGGTTGTTTTTCTGATCTTCTATGCATCAAAGTTTCACCTTTACTTTGTTTTTCTTTTACTCTTTTAAAGCCAATCCTTTTTTCCCGATGGTGATTTGATTCTGTGAAGAAGTACGGATCACGCCTGAGACGAGGTAAAATCAAAGGTTTTAAATACAGCAGTGCCTCCTGGGAGATGATTGACTTTGCCACTGTGTTCAATTTTACTGTACTCATAATAATTCTACTAACAGGGGTGACATTTCCACCCACGTCCCTGATATTTTCCCCCACTTGTTCTGGTTTTTTCTACCTGTGGTGAATGTCACAATTATATTTCTACCCACTGAGATAGAGCGTCTCCTGGAGGAGATAATTTTAGGCCCAAACATGTAATCCAGAGGAGAGAACATTGGCAAAAAAAATTAAACAAAGAGAGAAAAACTGGGAACAATCAGACTTCCGCAGTGTCGGAAAAAAAACCTACTTGTTGCTGGGAAGATTGAGCGGGCAGGAGCAAGGCTGACAGTCTTCAGGTGACCCCCGGGTGGCGTCACCGTAGTAACCCCATAAGCAGGAGTCACAGTTAGGTCCAAAGGTGCGGTGAAGGCACTCCTGGTGGAGAAACAGGAGTTAGAGGTGAAAGATACACAACATCCAAACCCTATCTCCTTGTTTCTTTTGATGGGCCACTAGTGGTGTACGGTGGCGTTTTCTCTCTCCTCAGCCGGAATGTTCTGTTCTCTAACCTTTTGAGGTTTTTCCTCAGAGCGGCAGACAGAGGGCGCATCAGAACACTGAACTGAAACATTTCGTTTGTTAGAGCTCACTTTGGCACCACTTCAGTCCAGCTAACATGCTAACGTGCTAGCTGTCGTTTTCAGACGTCCTGTTTGGAGGTTCTCTGCTCAGTGAGCGGGGCTGGGTGTCAGATCTGTGTCACATCATTTAGTCTGTCATCAAGTGACTCTTTGCAGATGACAAACACACACACACACACACACACACGCACCAACAGCGTGGACCCGTGGCACAGACCCACAGTCAGAGAACACACTCCTGTCACTGTGTATAAATATGGAAACAAAGGATGTTTGTTTGTGTCTTTGTGTCAGTGAGTGATCTGACGTCAAGACGTCTGTCTGTGT